AGAAGTTTCTGCAGCTCTCTGTACTATAAAAACAACAAAAGGAAACAGATAAAAGCTCTTATTTTCTTCTGAAATATAACTTTCTAGGGTTAAAAATATTTCAAGAAGGCAATGACCATTTTCTCACGGACAATATTGTGAATATTAAAGGATAGAGAATTACCTAAGTACAAACATCCTTTTTAAATTTTTTTTAAGAAGAAAAAGAAAAAAAAAAAAAAAGAAAAAGGATACAAGTAATACAGAATTTCAAAAAATAAAATAAAAAGCAGGAAATCACTAGTTAATAAATTACATATTGTCATTTAGAAATAGTTGTTCAAGTTACAAAATTAAAGTATATAAAGTGAACATTCAAACAGTGAGACTGCAAACAGTTCTGTTCAATGATCCAACAAAAACTCAGTAATATGATTATCTATCTTATACACTTATATATACATACAGCTACATACTTTAGAGCACTTTCTTTTCCTCTCTTTTTTACAATGACAATTACACATTTGGGGTTTATTACTCCCACAGTTCTTATTACATTGTTTGAAGAGAATAAAACCAGATGTGACATAACAAAACAGAATCAGTCAAATCAAAAGGATGGACATAATACATGATGTAAAAACAGAATACAAGGTGATCAGCAATGGTTACCATTATGCCCCTTGTTATCTTAAAAAGAGTTGCCTATATCATCAGTATAATAAAATTTAACAAAACAGGAAAGAACAAAACCAATAAAACCAAAGCATTGGAGACATTACAGGACTTCAAAAGAAGATAACAGCCAAACCAGAATGGGCATCATAGTGAACCTTATTGTCTTCAAAGTTGTTGCCTATACGCTCAAACTTGGCATTATCAAGCAAAACAGAATAGAGTAAAATCAGTCAAAACAAGATGGTGAGAGCAACACACGATTTCAAATCATGTTAATAGGAAATCAAAGTGGGTTACTATAATATATCCTCCTATTTTTTATTTATTTTTCCCATAATTAAAAGGATAAAAATTAAAAAAAAATAATGAAAAAGGAGATTAAGGTAAAAGAGCACATAACACAACAGCACAGGTCAAAACAGAACAATTTAAGCAACATAGTATTTCACCACAAGATATCCTGACATCAACCTAGTTACCATTAATGTCTCTTTCCTTGAAATATTTGAGTATAATTTCGTATACTGTAGTATCAAACATATCAAGACAATGTAAAACCATTCAAGAGAATGACAGTATTACAAGATTCTTAGAACCAACTAACTGAAAGTGAACAATGGTTTCTATATTATCTCCTTGTCTGTAAAAGTTTTTGTTTATATTATCACATATAATAAAATCCAATATGACACAATACGGTAAGACTGATGGAGACAGAAGAACAAAAGCCTGATGAGACTTCAAAACAAGATGATATTAAATCAGCACTAACTATTATGATGTCTTGTTTTCTCCAAAACAGTTGTTCAAACCATCACAGACAATAAAATCAAACAAGAATGAAAATATTATAAGGCTTCAAAGCAATATAATGGGGAATCGTGATTAGCACATACTTTCATGTATTGTTATCATTTCTTACACTAGGGAAACTATTTGGTATTTACATATGTGGGTTTGATTTATTTCACTTATGAGTACGGTCTCAGGCTACACCCATTTATTTACAAATATCTCAATGTTATCATTCTTTATAGTTGAGTAGTACTCCATTGTATAAAAATACCACAACTTTTTTTCAGTTGATGGACACTTAGATTGTTTCCAAGATTTGGCTATTACGAATTGTGCTGGTATAAACATGGGTGTACATATATCTCTGTGGTACAATGCCTTCAGTTCTTCTGGGAATATGCTTAGAAGTGGAATAGCTGGAACAAATGGGATTTCCAAACACAGGTTTTGAGAAATCTCCAGACTGACTCCACAAAGGTTGCACCACACTACACTCCCACCAACAGTGCAGGAGAGTTTCTTTTTCCCCACAGCCTCTCCAGCATTTGTTGCTGGTGGTTTTCTCCATCCTGGCCATTCTTTCAGGAGTGAGATGGAATCTCAGTGTGGTTTTAATTTGCATTTCTCTAATGATTAATGATGATGAACATTTTTTTCATGTATCTATTTGCCATTTGTATTTCTTCATCTGAGAAGTGTGTATTCCTCTCTGATGCCCATTTTTGGACTGGATCTTTAAATTTTGGGAGTTTGATTTTTTTTTTTTTAATTCTTTGTATGTTTTAGACAGAAATACTTTGTCTGAGGGACAGTTCACTAAGAGTTTTTCCCAGTTTGTGGGTTTTCTTTTCACTATGCTGGAGATTTCTTTTGACATGCAGAAACTTTTTAATAAGAGGTGTTCCCAGTTATTAATTCTGGGAAGTTTTTCCCATGAGGTTTGAGTAATGTTCATGAATTCTCTACCTACCCCTACGTCTTCAAGGTTTTTACCAAATTTGTCTTCCAATAGATTTAGTGTTTCTGTTTTAATATTCAGATATTTGATCCATTTAGATTTTAATTTAGTACATGGTGATAGGCACGCATCTAGTTTTAGTTTTTGGCATATGGGGAACAAGTTTTTGCAACACCATTTATTAAAGAGACTGTCGTTCTTCCAGTGAACATCCTGGCCCCTTTATCGAAGATAAGGTGGTTGAGTGTGTTTGTAGTTGTGGTTGAATCTTCTAATCTATTCTATTTATCTTCAGCTCTGTTTTGATTCCAGTACCATGTAGATTTTACTACTGTTGCTTTGTAGTATAACTTCATGTCAGGGATTTTAATGCCTCTTGCCTTGCCTTTGCTGCTTAGAACTTTCTTTAATATTCTAGGTTTCTTCTCACTCTAGATGAATTTTAGGAGGGATTTGTTTAATCTATGAGGTATGTTGATGGTATTTTTATTGGGATTGTATTGAATCTGTATAACAGTTTTGGGAGAATGGCCATTTTCACAATATTTATTCTTCCTATCCATGAGCAAAGGATGTCTTTCCACTTTCTGAAATCCTCTTCAATTTCTTTGTTCAGTGAATTTTAATTTTCCTTGTATAGGTGTTTTACTTCTTTCGTGAGAGTAATTCCTAAATATTTCATTTTATGTTTGCTCTTGTGAAGGGTGGGGCTTATCTTATTTCTCTGTGATCTTGTTGTTAGTGTATAGGAATGCTATTGATTTTTGATGTTGTTTTTGTATCCAGCTACCTTGCTGAATTTATTTAATATATCTAAGAGTCTTTCAATGGAATTTTGAGGGACTTCTATGTAGAGTATCATGTCATCTACAAATAATGATAATTTAACTTCTTTTTTTCCTATCTTTACCCCTTTTATTTCTCCCTATTTTCTAATTGCTCTGGCTAGTATATCCAGTACTATGCTAAATAAGAGCAGTGATAAGGGGCATCCTTGTATTGTGTGTGATTTTAAGGTAAAGGTCTACAATTTTTGGCCATTTAGTATGATACTGGCTGTTGGTTTGTCATAGATGGCCTTTATTTTATTGAGGTAAAGAAAATCTATTCCAATTTTCTGTAAAGTTCTTATCATAAATGAATGTTGGGCCTTATCAAAAGCTTTTTGTGCATCTATAGAAAAGATCATGTGATTCTTACTTTTGACTCTATTGATATTGTGAATTAGATTTATTGATTTATGTTTGTTGAACCATCCCTGCATACCTGGGATGAATTCCACTTGGTCATGGTGTATAATCTTTTTTTTTGTCTTTTTCTTTTTTATCGGTACCAAGGATCGAACTCACGACTGCCTGCTTGCAAGGCAGGCGCTTATGCCGCTGAGCTAAATCCCCAGCCCATGGTGTATAATCTTGTTGATGATTTGCTGCATTCTGTTTGCCAATATTTTATTAAGGATATTTGCATCTGTGTTCATTAAGGAGATTGGTCTATAGTTCTCTTTTTTAGTTGGGTCTTTCTCTGGTTTTGGTACTAGTGTAATATTTGCTTCCAGGAATGATTCAGGAAGGATTCCTTCCTTTCCAATTTCATTGAACAGTTTGAGGAGTGTTGGCATTAGGTCTTCTTTGTACTTCCTGTAAAATTCTGTAGTGAATCTGTCTGGACCTGGGTCTTCTGTGTAGGTAAGGACTTAATTGCATTTTCAATTTCATTAATAGAAATTATATTATTCAGCAGTTTTACCTAGTTCTTGACCTAGCTCTGGTACTTCATATTTCTAGGAATCTGTCTATGTCTTCTGTGTTATCAAACCTTTGAGAGTAGAGGTTTTTGAAATAGATGTTGATGATCTGCTGCATTTCTGCAGAGCCTGTAGTGATGTCACATTTTTCATTCCTTATTGCATGAATTTGAGCTTTTTCTTCCCTTTTTAAAATAAGGTTGGCTAAGGGCTAATCAATTTTATTTATTCTTTCAAAGAACCAACTCTTTGATTCATTGATTCTTTGGATTGTTTCTTTAGTCTCTATTGCATTAATTTCTGCTCTGATTTTTATAATTCCTTTTCTTTTTTTGGCTTTGGGGTTGACTTGCTCTTCTTTTTCTAGATGTTTGAGATGTAACATCAGGTTGTGTATTTGTATTCGTTCTGTTTTTCTTATATAGGAACTCAGTGCAATAAATTTTCCTCTGAGGACAGCTTTCATTGCATCCCACTGGTTCCGATAAGTTGTATTTGTATTTTTGTTTGCTTGTAGGTATTATTTAATTTCTTTTTTATTTTCCCCTGTGACCCACTGATTACCCAAATTGTGTGATTTAGTTTCTTTGTATTTGTGGGATTTTTGCTATATCTTTTATCATTAATTTCTAATTTCATGGCACTATGATCTGATAGAGTTGATAATTTCAACTCTTTTGCATTTATTTAAATATGCTATGTGAGCTAATATATGGTCTATTTTAGAGAATGACCCATGTACTGCTGAGAAGAACGTGTATTCTGATGTTGTTGGGTCAAGCACTCTGTATATGTCTATGAAGTCCATTTGTTCACAGGTGTGGTTCAATTCTGTTATTTCTTTAAAATATTGAATACTTCCCGAATTTGCATGTCATCCTTGTGCAGGGGCCATACTGATCTTCTCTGTATAGTCCCAATTTTAGTATATGTGCTGCCAAAGCGAGCACCATACACTTTTCAAGTAGCCATATTGAATATAGATTGGGAATCTTATTCTACCACTTAAAGATAGTAAATATTTTGATGCATTCACACCACATAACTGCTATAATCGCTCAACTCTGCCTAAGTGGTACAAAAGTAGCTTGATGACTTGGTGTAATTTCCCAGGAAAATTTTATAAAACTATTTGGAGACTAGGTTTGGACTATTGGTCATAGTTCGCCATTCTGGTATAGACTGTCTGGATACCTGAATGAGCAGAGCCATTTGGTCCAAAGTGTCAGTTCCCTTCAGCATTACTACTCTTGAATGAATCATAACCACAGTCATGGTAGTCAATACACTTAAAGTAAATTATCTAGGTCTCTATGAACTGAGTTCATCCAAGTGCTTGTCTGTACTATTGATTTCAAATTGTTTCAGTGGAAGATTTTCACTGAAAGATAAAGAAGAGGTGTAAAGAAAGCTGGAAATGTGCACTTCCACAAAGATACAGCACATGGTGTTCATAAGCCTGTACATGATTTCTTGGTCTTTTTAATTCTAAACAAATTTAAGAGGTCTTCTAGTGTCTGATTCTGATTCTGAGTAAAATGTTGAGATTTTAGATATGAGTTCATGCAATTTTGAAGCATTTTTATATATATTCATTGCCATACCGTCTAAAAGTTAGAATCACAGTGTTTGTAACAGAGCCTGGACTTTTTTTTTTTTTAACTTTTTATCGGTATTGGGTATGGAACTCACGACCGCCTACTTGCAAGGCAAGTGCTTATGCTGCTGAGCTAAATCCCCAGTCCCAAGCCTGAACTTGTTACAATCTAAATTTTATTTTTCATCTATTTTCTAGTCTAAACCACTCATTTTCTTCACAATTTGAAAGCTCTTTTAAATTTAACATATTTAATAAATATATGACATATTTAATGTGCTAATGTAAAATATTATTTTGTATTAATCTATTGAATGTTATCACTGATATTCTACATTAACATGCTTACTTAGTTACTTAAAATTATGTCACTTTCCAACTTACAGTATTCTCTGACACAATTCTGGAATGCTATTCTTCATTTGATTTTAATTATCAGTTTATCATTAACTAATACACAGAGAAATGCATTTAATTTAAACTCAAAGAAAAAGTTAAAGAAATTATAAAAGTCATCTTTTTATATCCCTAAACTTTTAAAAGAATGTACCAGTTTAGAATTTTTTTCTTTCAAGGCAGCATATTCAAGTTAAAAATATAACTCAGTTCATTATCTGTAAATGACATTGCTGGTACATAACCCAATTGCTACTTATTTTACTCTTCTGATGATGTGTTTCCTTCACTCAAATATCTAAAACAAAACAAAACAAAAATACAAAAAGATGTGTGCCAACGTTTAGTTTGTACTTATATTAGCATGGATATTACTATTTATTAAATCTAACATTTTTGCAATTTTTAAAATTTTCTGATTATTCTCAAGATCAACATGATTTGTGAGTTTTTGGAGTTAAAAAAGGTAAATTGTGCATGAACACTTGATTCTGTTTTAATTTCTCATTTCAAACATACTACCTTTTAATATTTCACTTTAAGGAAAGAAATTCATCACCAATAAGACATTTTCAATCTCCTTATCCTACATTGTAACACATAACTTTATTGATACTTGTCTCAGTTACTTTTCTCATTGCTGAGACAAAATATCTTAGATGACCCAAATCAAAGGAAGAAAAGTTTATTTAGCTAACAGTCTGTAGAGGTTTCAGTCAGTAATCAATTGGGTCCAGGGCTGGGTGATGGCGGAGGGGCATTGCAGGGAACAGCTGATGGCAAAGCAGGCAGGAGTGAGTGAAGCAGCCCTGGGCTGCAGACAGCTGCTGCTGCTGTCTTCCTTCTCTCTGTATATAGTCCTTTCAGGCTACAGACCTATTGTTTAGTGCCATCTAAACCCAAGATGAGGTTATCATTATCCCTTCCCAAAACCACGCTAAATTCATTTAGCTATCATGCATTCTTAATTACAGTATCACACATTGTGATCCAGCCACTTCTGGAAAGCCCCCACCTATCAGTGCCTAAGGCTTTGGGGGAACATGTAGATACAAGCCATGGTACTACTGTACAATTTTTTTCTGAGAAATTGCTGCTTTTTATAATGACCAGCTAGTTGAAACTTCAGGGAACTCAAGCCTTGAGGCTTAAAGGAGGTAAGCAATTTTGCTAATAGAATTGTCAAGTCCATGTCGCTAAGAAAAAACAAACAAACAAACAAACAAACAAACAAAAACATGAGAGACATATCAAGCCAGAAGAAATTTATTTCTCAAGAATAAACATTAAGGTGATTTTTATCACATTTTCCGAAGTAATTAGCAAGGTTGGCAAACCTCATGAATTTGATTTAAATCAAATTAGGCAGTAAATTCTGTTCTGATAAGTCTTATATTCTTCAGTGGAATGAACAGTACACATTAGAAAGGGAATAAACACAGGATGCTTTGTTAGAAACATTCTCTATTGGCTTCCAGGAGCAGTGAACAGATGTTATTTACCCTAACCCAAAAGTTAGGGACTTTTCTTCTTATTTCTAGCTTACCATATAAAAAATTGGATAACCTTTCTTTTCTTAAAAAAAAAAAAGTAGGAAAAAAAATCTCCTCTCAGTAAATCATCATTGGTAAATAAACAAATTGAATTTAAATTTTCGTTCAAACTCCACGTATGTGTCCATACAACTATGCAAATCTACAACCAGAGAATGAAACTAGGATGCATGGAGAAAACACAGTGTTTACCTAACAAGAGGATCTCAATTTTCTAATGATTGGACTTCAAGTCTGTTTATCCATGCATATTCTCTCTATATCTATATTTCAGCCAACTTCATCCTATATGCAAGAAAATGTGAAGGACACCACACTAAGCGAAGGGGATGGTGTAAAATGGACTCACAATAAAGAGGTAGAAAATAAATGTGTAAATCAAACTTGTGCACTCAAAGTTTAGTGTTCACTTGTGATGAACAGTAGGTCTGTTTGGGAAATGGGAGTCTGTAGCGTTTGCCCTTTACTTATAAATACTTTATAAAAGCAGTCATGGAACAAGTATGTTACCAAATTTAAAAAGATCAGACAATTATGTGTGTATTAAATGAAATATGTATATGTATAACATTATATATATTGTTATGACTAACAATATAAGTAATAATGTCTTTCTCCTATGTTTTATTCATTTTAGTAGTATAATCAAATATATAAATATCAATTTTGCTAAAATTACAATTACACTGGGAGCTTATATTTAAGTATAGATCTTGATAATTTACAGTGTATATTATCTATTATTTACTTATAGTGCAGCAATGGACAGTTGGAAAGTGCTTTAGTGAAGATCCTCTGTAATTAGGGTGATAATGTGTTAATCCATAAATAAATAGATATGTGATTCAGAGATACTTCATTGATGGTAAAATTAACCAAGTAACCATTTGAAGTTTGTTGATTATGTTTGAAAATAGGAATATTTTTGGTGAAGGTGGTGTTTCAAATGTTAAAAATATTAGCATTATGATTTTAAAGTTTGTAAATAGAAAAATGAAGCAAAATAAATCAATATACTAAAATATGTATCCTCAGTAAAGATTGCTATCTTAGAAAGGTATTCTTTCTATCAACAGTGCTTTTAATTTTATTTTTGTGTTTAGGTACAGGCATAACCAGTAATTTAACATTTGAGTAATTTTCATGACTATTAGCAGTGAGCAATGACGGTTATTAATCTGATTCTTGTTGTTCAATGTTTATTATTTGTAAAAATATGTATAATATGTATAATTAAGATGTCTAAAAATAGCGAAATCTATGCACCCTGATGGAAATAGAATCTGATAGACTCATAGAAGTAATAAAATATTTTCTCAAGTGATTATTTTGCAACATTAATTACAATAATATAAGGCATTTTATTTAAGTAATTTTGTACTCTGAAAACATAACTATTTAAAAAGCATATAAAACATGAACAACCAATCAGTCACATTAGTCTTATTATCTACATATTGTATTTACTGATATATTTTAAAATCTTTCTAGAAATTTATTCTGTATATGTAAATTCAGACAAAATTTAGATAATTAAATACCTAAGTTAAAATATTTTTATTTACACATAATTCAAATATCAAGTTAATATTTTCATAGTGCAATTTAATATTTTGTTTTAAATTTAAAAATGTTTGCAACTACACTTACATCTTTGTTTATAGTTTTTCATCACAAAAAAGAAATACTACATTTATAATTTATCATTTGTCATTTGACAAAATGTAAAGTAACATTACTTACTTTAATGTCAGGATGTTGAAAACATATTTCCCTGTCAATGATTATATGTATATATAATATTTATAAATTTATGCACATTTTCATGTTCTCTAAGCATGAGTTTATAATTTTTAATTTCTTTTTTTCTATAAAAGATATCTACAAGTAAGTAAATTTTTATTGTGTCTTTAACCCCTTGGCCTTTCATGCATGAATGTATATTTATTGAATTTCTAGGTCATGTTTGCCCAATTTCAAAACTTTGTAGTTTATTATGATTTTTCCAATATATTTTTGTATAATCTCATAATTCTTCCACTTTTTCAGACATAAAAAAGTATTTGTTCAATATATTATTTTTTTGATTAATGAACTATGTTTTGTGAAATAGTCCTCTTTCTCTCTCTCTGCATATATGTATATAGGAATTTAAACATTTCTTTGAATATTATACTAATTTTATTTGCATTTTCTAAATTGTAAAACTCCATTCACTTTAGAACAGTTTGCACATTTTCACTGCATTATTCATCTATACATTCCTGGTTTACAGATGTATAATTTAAATGAAAAATTTTTAATGATGTCATGTGTTGCAACTGTCAAATTGTAATTTTAGGACACAATAGTAAATTATGTATTAGCAGTAAAACAACAGGTAATGTACTTAACATTTTGTGTT